TGCAGTTTACTGAGATGAACTAGATTTTTACAATACAATTTCACCATTCCAACAATTAGATAAAAACTAAATATGTTGATAAGCAAATTGAATGGAAAAACTATGAGTTACAGCCTAAGTTAAAACAAAATTATAGATATTTTGTTCTATTCCAGGAAATTACTCAATGCGAGCTTCTTCTACACCCTCTTTACACAAGATTATATATGAATCCAGTAAAAAGGTACAATTATATGGTATGGTTTTCATGCTGATTTTTTTCTTTGTATTGAAAATAGCCAAATAATTCTAAAAAGTAAAGAAAGGAAGGAGAATAAACAAATTGTTTTGTTATACTGTATAAAAACAAAGACTATTATTATTATGAGCTATGTCTGCAGGATTATTATTCTACACCTCTATCACAGATACCAAACCCCAACCCAGAAGAAGTGAAATCAGACAGGCCCACTCTTTATGATACCTGGGTCAATTCTTTCCCCAGGAAAGGATCACAGCCAAAATTGCCATTGTGAGTATTAATATTGGCCCCAAAAGTTGAAAAAAAAACAGACTTAATTGACATTTAATATGGAATATTTTTTTCCAAATCTTTTTCATCAATTTTGACTGATAAATGAAAATAAGGATTAAAATCATGTTTTAATAACTCTTTATAATCTCCTTGATGTCATTGTGATATCAGTTCTTTAATTGAATTTGCAAATGAAGCAAACAAAAATACATTGCTGATTCTAAGGCATACAACAACCATTAAAAGCAATATTTTGGATTTCCATATTTTCCAAATTATCATCTGTAAAAGTGTTACACGCCTCTGAAAGAACCCTCATGTCAGTGTCTAATTACCACAATGAACAGATGGTGCATCTATAACCTCATCTGCCTGCTTCCATGCAAGAAGGCAGTCCTTTGGATAGCTTTTTGGTGTTTAATCTGGAATACCATTCCAGGCATCGGTCAAAACTTGTCCAACTTGGTTCAGTTTGGTTGTAAGACAAGAAGCCCATTGATTTGGCAAGTTAAGGCCTACATGTACCCACACATTGTGCATGTGGTTCAAACCTGGTGATCTTGATGGCCAAGGTAGCTGCATGCTTATTCCTTTGGTTCTGTATGTTAACTGCAATTAAAAATGCAGTTCTGTGTGAACAAGCCTTTTCATCATGCAACCTAAATTTGTTCCTAAGGTGCCCCCTATCAAATGGTAGTTGAGTAGTTCCCAGGTTATTCCCATATTTGATGTGGTCCAGGTTTTCATAGATGACTACCATTGATATTTTGGCACCAATGTGATATCCACTCCAAATGCTGATGCTGTCAATGAACCTAGTCACTCTCCACATGGCATATGCTCCGTGGTAGGCTTCTTCAGGATGTGTGTAAACTCAAGACTACTTTAATGGTACAGGTGAAATCTGACACAATAAAGAAAACAATGCGGTTTCAGTGTTCTACCCAGAAACAGTCTTGGTCCTCAATTCATTAGAAAAACAGACAACAATGTTTTGCTGTTTACAGTGGCTTTCTTACAGGTCATCTGGTATTCTGACCTGCTAAAACCAGTCTGGTGTTCGCTTTGAAAAAAATGCATTCTGGTAGTAATTTGCACATTTGGAATTTTGTGCGTAATGTGTGGTTTTTGTGTAGTTGCAGCAGTATATCCATTAGGACAGTGAATCCTGTATACTGGTGGTAAGGTTTCGATTCATTGGGTGTGGCTTCTGGGTAGGAACATCAATTTGGGCATAACTCCGTAAAACTGTGGGGGTTGTTCTTTGTGCCACAATAATCAATGTCTGTCTTTTTCATGCCATTCTAGATTAACAATGTTGTAAAACACTGCTTAGCTCGTTTTATGTACTGCAAAACCAACTGTTTGAAGTTGAATGCAAATTTTTTAATTCTTCTGTGCAGATGTTGCTGACATATGGATACTTTTTGGACAGAACTATTCTTCATCAATGCCAAGCTTTGACCAGCCCAAAGGAGCACTACCCATCACTGCATACTACACAATGCAGCAGTGCTACAGCCATTGTAGTCAGTTAATTAGTAGCGAAACACCTGACTACACACTTCTCTATTCACATGAGATTCACATGAAAGTTTTTATTATTATTATTTTATTATTATTATTATTATTATTATTATTATTATTTATTTANCGACACGCAGACGAAGCTGTCGGGACCAGTAAGCGGCCATCTGTAAAAGTAGCTCTCACCTGTTTCAGTTTTGTGATCTGATCTCCTGAATCTGTCCACGTAGTTTCAAGGCAATGATAAACAGCATGGACGTTGACCCTAAGCAATGCTAAAATACCTCTGATGAATTTAAAACCTCACGTTTCGTACATGATGCTCAGGAGCGACAGACTGCCCAGGTGTTCTACATCGATGTGGTAGTCACCGTACATTCATGGGGACGACGGGTGCGAAAAGGTACTCCATGGCCACCTTATCTGTCCCTGGCAACCCGACGCGCAATCCGCGAGTAAATACACCTCTCACTCCAAACACCCGGCGCAGCACCTGTCAACACTCCACAGTGAACCTGTAATCAGTCCGCTTTGAACAAGAGTTTGTAAATACGCTCTCGCGTCGGTTTTTAAAACAACAGCGTGATTAAGTATTCCGCATTATGGTTATTGATCCGATATTATATTGCAATGCAAAGGTGATTTATTACGTAACTCTGCTTGCTATTCGATAACATGTGCACAGTTTTGTAAATGGCAATAACAAGGGGCTATTATTAGCATGAGCTGATTTGGAAAACAAATCAAGGGCTCCTTTGTGCATTAAATCAATGCCAAAAATGACCACTTAATCTTTATTCCTTTAACAACGACCTGCTGTTATTCTAAAAGTTTAAGGCACTTCGACGCTCAAGGTAGTGGTTAAAAAATAATAACATTATATTAAAATTCAATCAAATGTTAACTACCGTTAGAGAGAGCACCGCAGCTTACAGGTAACCCATAATATTAATACCCCCTCACCGTTTGAATTTGACTGTAAAATGTATTTCACTAAGCCAAACGTAATCGGCTTATCTTTTAAAAGTTATATTGAATTTTTCCACAGCTGCATTCACCTATTGCGCCGGTTACACTATATCCTATTGTCACTTATGAGACGTTTATTGGCACATGCACTTTTTAAAGTCAACACAAGGAGTCGAAAGGTGACAAAGTGTATTCAGTATGTGTGTATAACTCCAGTAAAGACAGATGGCTATTCAAATTCAAATAGCAACGCTTTAAGCCCTGCTTAAACAAAGAGCTTTTTTTCTCCAGTGTAAAGCAATACCACCGTACAAAAGAACTTTATAAGCACAATGACCAAGGTATATTATACAGTTGGGTATTTATGTCCCTGGAATTACTGAGTAATACTAGAATTGTGGTACATATAAAATGTCTCAAATTGGTAGAGGGGTTTGGTATTAGGATTCGATTTAAAGTCACGTTAAAAAATTTACGCTAATTGATCTGCAGAGTCCGGCAGTTTAGTTACAGGCGTTGTAGTCACCAAAATCGATCATTTTGTTTGTGCGACGGCTCACGAAAATCTAGCTATGAACTTATTGAGCAGCGCGCAATTATATGAACTAATGGGGAAGACTTCATAATTAATTTACAGATTTCGGTGCTGCGATTAGGTAACAAGGTTAAGAAGTAGGTGGGTGGCGAGGGCGCAGCAGTGAAATCCCGTATCAGTTCGGGTCCTTTGCATTTTCTAACTTATTCACGCTTTAGAAGCTTGTTCAAAGTGATCATAAAGCATCTTTACAAATGTTATAAAGCCAAATTTGCGTTAAGGTAGCGCATATCATTAACCTTATTTTTAACATTTGCAACACTGTTAACCTTATACCGCTGTGTTATACCAGGGGCTTATATCTTTGGTTAAACCTTGTAAACGTCTGAGAAAAACCCTTCTCGGTCTTTCCCTGTATCATCAAAAATCATGTTTCATCTGCTGACTACGGGCTTTTTCACATCGTGCGGTATAATTATCTGTATTGCATCGTATAAATATATATGAAGGTAATTAAAGTTACAGTCTTTACAGAGCATTTCCTATTTCTTTTATGTGCGACCAATAATAAAAAGTGTGCACTCGTACGCCGAATCGAGTCACGGTCACGCAATCTCACCCAGCTCAACTAACACAATCCACTGTCTTCGTAACCCATAAGGCTTCATTCACATGCAATGTCTATTTTCTAAATTCTATTTTCTATTCGCGGTATGTCTTATGATCACGGTCTGTGCCCTGAATATCCCGGGGCGTAATTACTGGCAGCGCGAGCCAGTTACTATAAGTTACTATAAGTAATTACGCGGCGGGATATTCAGGGCACAGACCGTGATCATAAGAAAGCGCGAATAGAAAATAGATTTTTAGAAAATAGACATTCCATGTGAACGAAGCCTTTTTAAGTCTTAATAAATAACACATACACTGTACATGAGCTAATAAGAGTTTAAGGTGGTAAAATTAACGTGTCCTATCTACAGATATACGTGTAACCAACAGTTAAGTAATGTTTTTTTTTTGCTGCACACAGTTTATTAACTCACTCCAGGTAAACGGGAACGTGTAGAATCTATCTACATGCTCCATATAAACAAATAAACAGCCTTGTTCACGACTTTTGTGATTAAAGTCAAAATCAAGAGAGCCTTTTTTATACAATGAAGTTTAGGTCGTGATCGCATAACTTTGTCATGTTACTAGGAGAAATTTCGCCTTAATATGTTAATAAATAAGACACACCTATAATTAATGCGTGCCTGATGTTATATTAGCAAGCCCTATCTGAAACGCCACTGGTAATGTGAGGTAATGTAAAAGTTAGTATAAACTTATTCGTTTCCTATAAACTAAGATAAACTTCTTTGCGCATAATGACAGAAATATTTTGTGTTTTGGTAGAAGAGTATTGAGGTAGATTGGCCTCTAAAATAGAGGGGTTTTGACTTACGAAAAGATAGATAATAAAAATTGAAAGCTCGCGAACATAAATGCATTCGTTGATAATTTGCACTGTTGAAATTTGAATTGCTAAACATAGAGGCAACCGTCATGGCAGTGTGTACCCTGACAGTCGTTTTATTTTTGTGTGGAGTCGTCGTTAAAGGTTTGTGCTTTATGTCTTTTTATGCTTTATATCTTGACATGTCGAGTTGCTCTCTTTCATGAAAAATGAGACACTAGGACATGGAATTCACAAGGACTTTCAGCGTTTCTGATGAAACTAAGTGAAGAGGGGTGGGGTTTCACGAATAAAATTTGTAGAGTTCAATAACTTGTGATTTTAATCGATTGGTACAATGTAGAATGAACTCTTAGGTGGTTTTAAATAAGGAATACCGTCTGCCATTGCTAACTTACAAGTAACATACAATAAACGGGCATGAAATTGTAAAAGGTTCAATGTTTCTGAAACAAAATAAATTGCTCAGAAAATCAGCTCTTGCGCTTTTTAAACAGGAAACACTGTATATGATTCTTGCAACTTCGAACAAGACCTATGCGGCTGGACGCAGGACAACACTACAGATGACGGAGATTGGAAAAGATGGAAAGGACGCACCCCCACGAGTTCCACTGGCCCCTTGTATGATCATACAACACATACAAGTTTAGGTATTGACATATTCATGAAATAGGACATTGTAATCAAATACGGTATATGTAGTAAGATTTGGAATAAGCAGGTGGGTGTATTGTTCTAAATTTAAATGTATATTTTTTCTAAAATACATGTTGTACCATATGAATTTCGAAAAACTTATTGCTGTACTTCCAGCGTTTCCGTAGTAAAAAAAAAAAAAAAAAAAAAAAAAAAAAAAACGTATACCACACAGGCGAAACCTTATCGTGATGACCGAATCACTAATTTGTAACGTGATGGTTATTGCAATTTGATGTTTATGGCCTGTAGAAACGAAAGGGCAGAAGGCGTTTTGATTCAGGATAATTGTTACGGCCTTAATTGTTGCAACTTATTACATTTTGTTTCAATGTTATTATCCTGTTGATATTTAGGATTTTACATATATATGGAATCAAGCCACACGGCCAAGAATGATAAAATGCGCCTGGTTTCACCTTTGTTTCAACCAGATCAGAGTCGCAGTTGCTTTGAACTCTGGTATCATATGTTTGATAAACCTTTCGATTTAGGATTCAAACAAGACGATCGTAAGTGAGCTTGAAAGTCATAAGCACGGTATCATAGTCGTTCTGTAATAGCAATGCTGTCGGCTATTTTCATAAATATCTTTAGAGATGTGTATCTTTGTGCAATTTCAATTCATAAAGTGATGCAAATGTTAATTGCGTACACAACATTAAAGGAAAGATTAACCCTCTACTTTTCACATTTGATCTGTAACACATTTGATGAATATCAGTATAGTTATTTTGACGGATTTCAGTTCATCATTCAGATATATTTAGTAAATATACAGAGCACATACATATACTGTGCATACGAGATAAAATAATAAATTGATGGTCTCTCTGTCTCTCTCTCTCTCTTTTTAAGCCAAACCGCATATGCTTTTCTTTTAGATATTGGCCAATTAAAAGTTTACATCCGGGCTAAAGGCTCTAAGAATTTAACACCGGTATTCAGTGATCAGGGTAACCATGGAGATATATGGATCCATGGCAACATAACCATCCCATGCCAAATGCAACCTTTCCAGGTAATCTAATCATATCAATTAACCAATATAAAACTATTTTATTCACTTTGTGAAATATGTAAGAATGATAATTACAACACGTTTGCAAAAGAAATAAAAGGAGAAATGGCCTTGTTTTATAAATGCCTGTACATCACTTCTTTAGATTATAATCGAAGCTGTGGACACGGCTGGCTCTGCAGCGAGTGACATCGCCGTTGATGATATGAATTTTTTCCAGTGTGATGGTGAGTATGCCATTAATGTATGGGACCAATGTGTTTCAAGTTACACTCAGATAAACATCTAAATGAATAAATAAATAAACTGCAGTTGCAGACACTTTCATTATATAGAGGAATAAGCGAAGTCATGATATGCTAGTGGTGTTTCATTTCATTTCTGTCATTAATTATTGTCATGTTTCGTATGATTTTATTAGAAATAAATAAAAAGATAGTATAACTACTTCTAAAAGTGATGGCATTTAAATTCAGAGGGTCTACGATTGGTATGTCCAACAACCGTCATAGCGACCCTGTCAACAACGGGTTTCACGGCCAAATATAGCGGTAAGGTGTTGCATGGAATATAACATCAATATTTGGTATACGATGAGCAACATACACTATTCAGACAAAACAGTAGACCTTCGGGTATTTTAATTATTTTAACCAAAATCGGGTTGAAGAGGGGGCTCTGCAAAATGTTGAAAAAGGCAGCAGATTGGTGTTTTCATATTATTGGGTTTCCTAAAATCGAAATCTAAATTTCATTTTAGCAGATATAGCCTTGGAGAATAGTTCCTCATCCCCTTTTTCAGGATTGCCTTCGACTAGGGCAAGTAGAATAAGTAATCGGTATAAATTAACTTTGATACTAATATACCAAGTATACATGTATATTGTTATTATTAAATACTTTTGTTATTGCAAAATAAAGGTATATATGTTCATTTTCAGTTTATTCCTATTGTCATATTATATAGCTTCATCTTGAGCTCAATAATTCCTATATTTGTAATGTGTTTATACCTTACTCATAGCACATTATTTCCCCCTTTTTTGTGTTTTCCTTAACATTTCTTAATCATACCACGCCATCAAGCCTTTATCAGATGTGGATAATGGTGGTAGGTACCGGTATAATGCTTATTTGCCTGAAACATCTTCTTTATTAGCTATCAGCCTGTTACACTGTTCCTATATTTGTAAGACATTTTATAGTTACGTTTTAAACTACATTTGCATGACCATGGGAAGTTTTAATGGAAATCCTTTTTTATAATGGGCTAAGATATTTTCTTTCCTTTAATTCCTGATCTCTGAAATAGTTATGTTTGCATTAAATGTGATTGGCACAATTAAAAAACACATAAAACAGAAACGAACGTTAATGTTTACCTAACATTACAGGTATATAAAATCCATCCTAGGATCTCCGCTGTATATCAACTAACTGTTGCTGATCACAGCCTTGTAGGCAAACGTGGAACGCCGAATTCGAAGAATGAGCTGTAACCACGGGTGTCATGGTAGTAGG